ACAAATGAGGTATTTTTATCACAGGGGTTTGGGCTAATATCATGATATTTAACATGAACACCAGCACCTTGTGCTATTTATGGGGAAAGCGCCTTCCTTTCTCTTATTACAAACCTGTTTTGAAAGTTTCCCTATGTGAAATTAAACCTTCTCACATCCAGCAGGTGAAGTGACATCTTGTGACTATATACTGGTTGACTGGTCTTCAGGGGAACGGACAGGTGTGTCTAGCTAAGGCATGATTCTTTTGTCAATTCCATCTCTACATTTTGTGCTTCAGAACAGCAATATGTGACAACGGTCAAAGCAGAGTTAGGAGTCTTTTTCACAAGTGAGCAGCCAACTTTGCAATTCAATACATGGAGGGATAGCATTTTAAATTCTAGCTTTTGAGGTAGTCAACTTGGCCAATAAATTAATGCCATCAAGCTATAAGGACAGATATTCTTCGCAATGAAAGGCAAAGTATTATAAACTGCATGCACACATTTGTGTGTGTATGTATGTATCCTGGAAATGCCAGGGTCATCTTATTATACTCCACACTTCATATAGTAACTTTTCCTTGTAGATGTTTGATAATTGTGCCCTTTCCAGAGCCTGAAATAGTACTATGGAGCGCAGCACCAAAAATTACAGGAAAAGCTTCTAAGTGCCATTGTATACTGTAGTTGGGATGCTTATAGAATGAGCAGAACTATTTGATTTTGTATTCATGTATGTGAGTTTGAGTACATATAACTATGTGAAGTGATGTGTTAGCCGTTATGTGTGTGACCTCTGTGACTATGACGCATGTGAGACTGTGTGGTTTAACAGAAAAATACTAAAGGTTAAAGTTTACATTTCCTTAACCTGCCTCACAGGTTTCTCTCCTGCTCAAAAGGGAATTGAACAATCCAGTTTGATACTTTCATCCCCTGCTATCAGCTTATGCATGCTGCAAACCAGCCAACTCACCAAGGACCTCATAGGTATGACAACTCAGTGGCACTGGGGAAGGTGGGGGTTCAGCAAGTGCCAGTGGATGCATGCATGAAACTTAAAAATGGAAACAATCCTGCCCTCTTTTTGCTAGAGGGACAATGGGCTATGAAGTAGATTTTTGTTCTTTAAAAGTGGCTCTATAATAAATACAAATAACTGCCACCAGGATAGAATCAGGTAAGCACTGAGCATTTGGGAAAATTTCTACCCCATGAGTCAAATGTGTTAGAAATATGGTGGTTGTGGGGGAATCTTTCAGCAAAATAACAAAACTGGGCTTATCTGAAATAGGAAGATGCAGCAAATGTTTACTGGCCCAAGTCAATACAGTGGTACCTTGGGTTACAGACGCTTCAGGTTACAGATGCTTCAGGTTACAGACTCTGCTAACCCAGAAATAGTACCTCAGGTCAAGAAATTTGCTTCAGGATGAGAACAGAAATCGTGCCGTGGCAGCGCGGCGGCAGTGAGAGGCTAAAGTGGTACCTCAGGTTAAGAACAGTTTCAGGTTAAGAACGGACCTCCAGAACGAGTTAAGTTCTTAACCTGAAGTACCACTGTATTGCAAAATTTTGGAAGAAGTGGAAAATGACTTTCTTTCTTAACTTGGATGTCCGCTGGATATGAGAAAAAGCAGTCTTCAAAGCAAGCAGGCCGATAGCAGGAGCCAGCCAACCTAAAGCACACACCATGAGTCTAGACCTGCAATTACAACTTGCTCACACACAAAATTCAGTGTGCTGTACGTATTTATATTTTGCAGCCTGAAACGCTCTGGGAATAGGGTCAGTTAGCAACATTTCCCACAGCAATAATCTTTCAGGCAGGCAAGTGGGCAAAACTGCAAGCCTTACAAAAGTTCTCAGGACCACGTAAAGAGGCACCCAGGCTCTGCACATTAACAAAAGGGAGCCTTAAAGATACAAGGAATTAAATAGGAACTCATTGGGGTGGAGGGTTATTTGGATGGCTAGATGGACAGATGGGGAGATAGCTGTTACAGAGAGATGAAAAGAAAAGTAGTGTGGAGATGGATGTATGGGTGAATGGGCAGACAGATGGTTAAGAAAAGGGTACTGATTGGTTCTTATGAACCTGAGAAAGGCATCCAAGTTTGTTTCTGTTAAGAAATGCTTAATTAGACTAATTAAAGAGAAGAGAATTGACATAAATACTATTTTTTGTGAACTTGGAGTATGCAAATTTCTCCATCATTTGTCATTACTTGGAGTCTGCTCCCCCCACTCTTTCATGCGTGATTTTAATAAAGCCCCATGTAGATTCTGAATGCACACTCCCATTCAAAGTTGGTGTATGGAGATACAGCTGCCTATAATAACACACTTTCCCCGTTATTGTCTGCTTAGGCAGTAACTCTTGCAGTTAGAAATATATTGCATTTTTAGGTCAGCGGCGGCACAAAAAAAGAGAGGCCAGCAAAACTAAATTGTTAAGCATCAATGACTGAGTCAGTGCCAAATCTGCACAATCTATTCTGCCTGTGCATTCCCATTAACCTCCCTTTAAATGCCTCTAGTGCTTGGCACCCCATTTCAACCTGCTTAAACAAGTGGTGAATGCTAACACCTTGCATCTAACTGCCAAATATTTATTTTATGTTTGTGGTCTTTCAAATATTGTTCGCATCCATAATGCACTGAAAGCAAATGCGCTTCAGTTGGATAATTACAGAGCATGTCTGAATACAATGCAAATATATCAACTCTTAATAATCATGGCTTTCTGGCAGAAATAGGAAAGGAGAGATGAGTGGATACACAGATGGGGAATAGAGTGACTGACAGGCAGGACAAAAAAGGAGCATAGGAAACAACACCTAACAGAATAATAAAGCAAGAGAAATTTACAGGAGGAGGAGGATGGGCTGAGTAGAGTTGAATGGAGCTCTGGGGAATCAAAGCTGAGACAATAGACCAACGGAGTGTTTGACCCGCTCTTGCCGAAGCCACCTTGAGGCCCCTCGCTGTCCAAGGAGAGGCAGCCACAGATGGGCAGAAGAGCAGATGGGCAGGTGGGCACATGTCAAAATGGAGGGAGAGAGGAGCAGCAAGCAGACATAACAGACAAAAGAGTATAGATACAAGTAGTCGGTTGGATTGGACTTGATTAGAGATAGAAACGACATCCAGTCACAAACCTAACATGACAACCTGACAGAGTTCTTATTCCCCGGAGATGTGACGCTAAAATATTTACGCCAGGTTTCTGTTGTGAACTCTCCCAGCAGGGTGGAGTTAACAAAGACTTTCCATTTTACGTGTTTCATACAAAGCAGAAATTACCATTCCCTTTCTGTAACGAAACCAAACAGATTGTCATCTATTGTTGCCTTCTACTGTCAATTCTTCCCTTCATTAAGCTTTAGGCCAGGGTCACCACCTGGTTGCTGTCCCTTCCCCACCCTTCTTCTTAACCTCACATAGAGAACACAGGCACACGTGCTCACACCCTCCACAGATCCACCACCATCTGGCTACCTACTCCATTTCCCCTATTTGTGCCCCTCTTTCCTTCCAATACAGGTCACATTCAGTAATATTTTTCTCCAGGATTTGTTCCTGGTAACTAAACACGAGTCTGCAAGGGAAAAAAATTAATGTCTAAAGAGAGAAACTCCAAAGACAATTAAGCGCCTTTCTATGTATCGTTGCTGTTGTTGTTTAGTGCAATGTTTCCCAAATTTTCCAACTATGGTCTCCTTCTGACCTTGTTTCCTTCCTGTGCCCCTCATAGACATAGCCAAGGGGGGCAGGGGGGCAGATGCCCCCCAATAAGTAACAAATCAATACATATCAGAGGCTCTGTCCCCCCAGCAAAAGCCTGCCCCCCTAACAAAAATCCTGGCTACGCCTATGTCGTCGTCCCCGTCCTACCAGTAGAAAGGTAGTTATTTAAATGTTTTCTTTTCTTTGTAAATAGAACATGTTTTGTTTATCATTTTTATAATTTATACAGAATACAATTCATAAAATGATCAGAACATAATGAAATATTGTTGAAGCAGAAAAACATAGAATCATGGAGCTGGAAGGGACCCCACGGGCCATCTGTCTAGTGCAGTGTTTCTCAACTTGTGGGTCCCGAGATGTTGTTGGACTACAACTCCCATCATTCCCAGCCAGCATGACCAGTGGTCAGGGATGATGGGAGTTGTAGTCCAACAAACATCTGGGGACCCACAGGTTGAGAACCGCTGGTCTAGTGCAACCCCCTGCAATGTAGGAAACTCAGCTAAAGCATCCATGACAGATGGCCATCCAACCTCTGCTTACAAAGCTCCAAGGAAGGAGAGTCCAGAACCTCCCAAGGGAGTTCCATCTGCCACTTCCCTCTGTGGCCCCCTAGCCTCGTGCTGTGCCCTCCCCCCAATTTATGTGATTTTCACTTGCAGACCCTTTGGAATATCCTGCCCCCCCCCAAATGGGGCCATATGGCCCCCACGTTGGGAAACACTGGTTTAGTGCACCATCTGCACAGTCGTTACTCGGCTAAAAAGTGGATCCCGATTACAACTTCCCTCAAGGTAGTGCTCCCACTGTCGGAATCATGACACCGCCACTCAAATTGCAGTATCATGCCATTTGGGAAGATGGGATTCTTCCACCAGTTGGTACTTCCTTTGTGGTTGTGAACACAGAGAGTAATGTGACTGTGAGAATGACTTAGACAGCACGGGAGGCCCTGATGGTGGTGCCACCAGTGCTTCTGCCACCTCCCGCCATGCGCCAACCATTGTTAGTAAGCACACCAGATGGTAGCAATGGTGTTGGGGAGTACTGAATGGCACTACGCTCTCAAACAGAAACAGCTATGCCATTGTTCTATCTAGTTACAAGAAACCCCGGCTGGAGGTATGACACAGAAGCATTTAAAAAGGGTGGAGGTCAGAAGGACAAGTGGCAAAAGCAACATATATTTATGGAACAGGGCTGAAAAACTTGAACAATGTCAAATCAACAATGGCAGAGGCAAGTGCAGTATCTGAAAGCAATCTAGATTTTCTTCTCTGCGCATATCAAGAAAACCAGACATGAGGTCTCTGAGCTGCTGTTGTCGCACTTACCAGCTTGGTTGGTGGTGATGTTCACGGAGACATGCTGCGGTGGGAATGGGCTTTTGTTGGAAACTCCATTGACAGCCTGGATCTCAAAGGTATATGGTGTATGGGCCCACAGGTTGCTGATAAAGACCCGGGTTTCCGTGAGGCCCAGCTGCCTTGGCACAAACTCCACATTGTCATCACAGCGGGAGCAGCTACGGCGGTCCGACCGACACTTCTTGCAGACAATGTTGTAGGTCACATCATCTCGACCTCCCGTCTCCCGGGGTGGGTGCCATTCTAGTATAATTGACGTTTCATTGACAATAGAGATCACGTTGCGAGGCCCAGAAGGAACACCTGTTAAAAAGCAATTTACAGATAAAGGCTATGCAACTAAATGCCTGATCATGGTACAATGTATACTTTTGCTGAGATGTAGAGATTAGTGAATTCGGACTCACCAGAGCTGGATAAATGCATGCCTCATGATTTTCCATTGTGGGGCTTTTGTTGAGGACCCTTAGACCAAGAAGGCTCTCCACCCCACTCCTAATGATCTTGAACATCTCCCCCACAACATGGCATGTTAACCACTTTAGGACTCTTTGTTGTGGGAAATGATACATGAATTCAATAAACCTTACCCAATCTCTCTCTCCCCCACCCCCAAATCCTCCGATTGGCATGTTGGGCTCACACAGAACCTCCCTGATTACTTTAAATATAGAACAATACCCCTTCAGTCAGATTACTTAGTAATGATCCCTCTTTTGTAGTGTCGCTTGGCTTAGATACCAGACTAACACATTTGGAAGTTTCTCCCTGCTTGGTTAGGCTAATGTGTGGAGTAGACAGAGTGGTGGGAAAGTTGTGTCCCTTCTTGGTTAATTCTTGTTTGCTCTTCAGACACCTTCATCTTCTTTTCTCTGCTTAGGTTATGCTTTAGTCTCTATTATTTAAATTGCTGCTGGGGTTAAGATAGATGGCCTTTTGTCCCTTCCACAGTATTTCTACCAAATTATAGCACTCAGCTGTCCTGCTCTGTAAAAGGAATCTTACATGTGGCTCTATTTTTAAAGCTGTCACACTTTCCCTCCTTAGTATTATGAGTCCCACCAGTTCACTAAAGGTTATGGGCTGTTGGACTTGGCCATAGTTGCCAGAGGCTATCAAGTCACACAGCACAGTCCTCTCAGCTCTATGAGGTCCTTGATTTGTTTTAATGGTCCATCTGACAACCAGCTTCCAGCTCAGATCTCTTGAGTCCCCAAATATTGCTGACTTCACCCATATAAATCCTGCTTTATATATACACACAGGGCTGGCCAGGATGAGGCTCATGAGCCACATAAGTTACTCTGGCAGCAAATATTCAAGAAACTGGATAGAAAATAGTCACAATACCCTTTCTAAAGAGGGAAAGGAGAGTGTGTACTTAGAGTTCAAGAGTTTTCTCCTTCCCCAGCTCTGCTCCCAGTCACATACTGGAGCTGAGGCTATACCAAAAGACCAACAGTGGCATGCTCCAAAATGTGAGAAGGCTAACAGCAGCAAGATCTGTCACTAGATCAGTTGGTAAGAACGGGACAAAAGGATAAAGAAAATGGAGCTGTGGAATGGCTGTTGGTCGGTGAGTGGGTGAAACCCACGTCTCCTTCTATAGTCTTTATAAATGTCTAGTGCTCCACTCAGACAATACAAACCAGAAACACATATTGTATCCCTGCAAATAAGGTGTCTCTGGTTGTTTGTTCCTTATTTGCCATGCACTGTTCCTCATTTCATTGTGGGAGAAGCTGCTATAAGACTATGAGGAGCAAATCAGTGACAGGTATTGAAAGATTTGGTGCAGGCAATTCACAATAGGGCCTCAGCTGGTATAATGCCTTCTCTTTGCCCACGCCAACCATCTAGCAGAGTAATACAAGGCAGCCTTTAATTTCTGACATTTCCAAGCACTGCTTCCCTCCACCCCCATTTCCAAATCTTGGTCCTGACATTTTGTGAACCGAAAAAGTCTGGTCTACTTCCATTGCAACATCAACCCATCCTCATTGAAGCTGAGTTGATAGTACCACTAAGTTGCAATGAGAATTCAAGCTACAAGTTTATACATCTGGAAATCTCCACCAACCACATGCTATTGAACATTCACATTTGGCGGGTGGGAGAACAGAGGTGACACAGTATTTTATTTTAAGAATTCCTTGAAAGATACAGTTAGGGCTCAGAAAAGCACACATGATATAAAAACAGACAGACTTGCAGAAAATGTCAGAAGCAAAGAGCAGTTATTAATGGTTCAATATGTCAGGCTGAAAGGATGGGTATTTAGTGGGGTCCTACAAGGGTCTCCTTCTGTGTCTGCTCTTTATGCAGTTATTATTTATTAGCAACTTGGACGCCACAGTTCAGAGTACGTATATCAAAACTGCAGGCAGCACCATTCTGAGAAGGAGAATGGTGGCTTTGCAGGGGCGGGGGAATTAAGTGCAACTCTGTTTTTATACGTTGAGGAAATGGGGTTGGAATCAATTAATGGAGATTCAATAAGAACAAATACAGTGTGGAAAGAGTAATCAAAGACACACATATATAACAGGGGAATGCTGATCAGGCAGTTGTGCCACAGAGAAAACTCTCTGGGCTGTAAGAAATGACAAATAAAATGAGTCAACACTGTGGCCATGCTGCAGGCAAAGCAAACAGCATAATGGGCTAAGCTCTATTAAACAAACACTGTAATTATTCAGTCTGATCAGTGCTACTATTTTCTAAACCAGAGAACTGAATTCAGACTTGGGCAGACTTGCCACAAAAATTCTCATAACAAAAACTGGAACTTAATGTTGGAGTTCTAACAATTCATGCTTTGGGCAAGCCCTGGACAACGAAGTTTCATGGTTGTCATGATTACATCTATGAGCGTTACACATTATTGCAACATCCATATTTATTTTCAAACTCAAAGCCCAACACCACCGATATTCCTATAATATTTTAATTCACTTGGGCCAAATCATCTCCCAGAAATTGCACAAAATCCTGCCAATGTAGCATTTGCTTCTGTGTGAATGCTTTTGATCCATCCACTCATGCAGTTGGACTTCACCTTCTCCTCTCTTTGTGTGCCCCAAAAATCTGTTCTGGAGGGTCCCCTCTCTCTGGGGCAGTTTGGGAGGGTCCATGGGTAACTGCAGAGGAGCGGAGAGGAGAGGGAAAGCTGTGGTGTGAATGGAAGTTTGTGGTGTGAGGAGAATGGTAGCTTTGGCTACATCCGTCTCTGTTCACTTGTGCAGTATATTATGACTCTGAGTGAAAAGACATTCACGTGAATGACTTGTTTGCACAAATGATAAACTGCAGACCTCACGATTCACTGCACAACAAGTGCAATGCATGCGCAAAATAAAAACGGGGTTTTGCATTAATCTGTCCAATCAAAAACTAATTTATGGAATAGTAGTAGCTGAATGATTTCCTAAGGAAATCACTTTGGCAGGGTGGAAATGGTTAGGGAGGATGGAGCTGATAATTTTTATTATCTTGTAAGATTGACACCGTAGGATTGAGGCCCTACTTAACAATAACAAAAGGGGAGGGGACTTCAGAGATGTACAGAAAACGATTTATTGTCCAATGCATTTTGAGTGTTGCACTTTTCCTCAAGAGCAAATCTGATTCAGTTTTTTCAGAAAGCAATCAAGATTTTCTTCTATACATTTTTGAAGACTCTTTCTGTTCTGCTCCTGCATCTGGTGTCCTTCCATGCCTGTGGAATTGCAGACACTGTGAGAAATGTGTAAGCAGGTAATGCAGCAGAAGCGGAAGCTGGGATTGCAACTTAAAAGAGCCACACTTGGTGAAAATGAAGCTGACCCACTATCAGGTGAGAAAAATATTTTTTTGTAGGAGGTTATGAGAAATACGTATTGAAAATGGCAAGTGCAAACTCACAGAGTCCAAGCTAATCAGAATATGATACATCTGCACACATCTTTTACCCTTCTTCGTCAACACTCCATCACTGTACCCAAACAATGCTTGAGGATCTCTATAGCCTCCTTAGCATCAGTTGAAAAAGAAAGATAAGTTGGGTGTCATCAACATATTGATCACAGCTGAACACAAAATCCCAGGTGACCTCTCCAATGAATGTTTTGTAGTTATTAAATAACAAGGGGGTCAAGACTGACCACCTTCTTGAAAAGTCCAACCATACAGAGCCACTGCAACATGTCTCCCAAACCCACACCAGCCAGATGTCCTCAAAAGACACTACGGTCAATCATATTGAAGGTTGCCAACAGGTGCAAAAGAACTAATATGGATATAGTTAGAAAGCAGTTAGCTTCAATCCTCTAAGCATCTTTTACTGATCCTCAGGTTCGACGAGCTGAAATTTATGTATCCAAATAGTCCAAACAGATATCTCAGCCACAGCCATAGATCCTGCAAGGGACTTTACTAGCAAAGTGGTTTGCAAACTGGCCCCAGCCATCTACCAAGCGTTCCTCTACATTACTTTTGGGACTAGCACTTGGAAGTGCTTGGAAGTGCTGTGCTGTGCTGACAGGATGGTGGTGGAGAAGTACACTGATCAGGGGTTACCATTAAGAGGCTGGCATTTCAGCACCCCACTTAGCAGAAAATGAATCCAGGGAAGTTCTGCTGAATCTGTCACAACCTACCTCTGCTCAAGCCCTTGAGGAGTTTTCAGCTGCTGTCCCCATTCCAAACTACCGGCTTCCTTTCTCTCTCTCTCTCTTTCTCTCTCCCTCCTTTTCTTCATAATTACATTCAGAGAGGCACTTTGAGAGAGAGCTTCTCTGATCTGTTACTATGGTTACTGCAGATGAAAGCATTTTGTTAAAATTGCTAGAAAAATGCTATCCTTTAACGAAAATTCCATTTCATTTAATTTTTTCCCGTCAGCACAGTTAAAGTATTTGTCATGAGCCATCTAGCAGCAAAGACTTTGCTGTGTACACAGTGGAAATGTGATGTGCTGAATGTGATGTACTGAAGTGATGCTGTACTTCAAACTGTTCCCATGTGTGGGTCATCAATATATAGGGATGCACACAAAATGCAAGGCCATTCTAGTTGCATTCTAATTGTATTACCCTAGGTCAATGAGTTCACATTTCATCAATACATAAACAAACATGAAGGCTCTGTCAAAATATAGCCAAGCTCTCTATTTCTTCCATCATTTTTCTTGCCATCTCAAATTCTTCCCTCTCAACCTTAATGCGATTCTACTGCTGCTTTCCTGAAATTGCTGCTTCAGTAAGCCACACTTTGTAGCAACGTCTATTATCCATGATAGAATAGGGTGCCACAATTCTCACTGGCACATCTTGTCTTGTCACTTCTAAAAGACCTACACTGGTTAGCTGTCCAGTTCTGAGTCCAATTCAAGGTGCTGCTAAAACCTTTAACAGCTTGGAACCCAAGTAACTGAAGATGCACACCTTATCCGTTATTTGAGATCACCTGCCAAAGCACTCCTCTATACGCCGCCTTGTCCATCTGAGGTGAGATTGACATCAATGATGATGATGAAGGCTGACTAGGACGAAGGCCCAGGGAAGTGTTAAGCCAGTCCCATCTCCTAGTGGCCCCAAATCTGTCAGGCTCCCTTCACCCCACAAACTTGCCCTGATTCTGTAGGCAATGGATAGAAAGCAACTTGAAACCCTCTGCCACCTCCTCTCAAAATTGAGCTCCCCACCCAATATATATATGGGTATGTAGGTAGACTTTGCCTTCCCACAGATTAATAATGACTTGCTCTTAAGCCCCTTTAGCCCCAACCACCCAGCTCATCAAAACCATTTAGGGTGCATACATTGGCCTTGTACTAATAAATATTGTAAGTAAATAAAATTATATTCTGCCTCAATTGCTTTTAAGCTCCCCCACCCCCAATATCCACTCTCCTTGTCTCCAGGACTTTGTGACATCATAGCCAGGTTAGTTAATGGCTGGGGGTGGGAATCTGGCTGGGCCATATCACTTTCTGCTGCCACATTACAGGTTGCATCTTGAAAGCTTGATGGTACATAACACTTGCCTCTGTTGCCTGGTTTCAGAGATTCGATCTGAGACAGAGTTATTAAAAGTGATGCCATCAATCACAGAGCAGAACCTTTTATCAGCTTGTTTGAGGGGTTAGTGGCAGACGTTTTGAGCAATAGACGTTATAGCTCCATTGCCTTCCTTAACTTAACTTGGGGTATAAAATCCGAGGGTAGATATATTGTACCTCTGATAATGGTCAGTAAGCTGAGATTTCCCACCTAATAAAAAGCAGTCAAACCATGTATCTTTCACAGGGAATCTGCTCATGCTGTTGTAAGGTACAGCCAGGCTCCAACTGGGAACCCTGTGGAGCTGGAACTGGCCGCCTGCATTCTGTACCAATGAGACTTCTGGTGAAAAGAGGGTCTCATAAGGGACTGAACTTGTGGGTCAGACAAACCTGGGTAAAAAGATATGTCTATACCAGAGATAGAGAACCTTTTGGCACACCACTCTATGGGTCAACTTTGACAAGGGGTGGGGCAACCCCCTTGTCAATCACATGACATCATTATCACATGACACAATGGACAGGTAAGTTTTCCCAGACAACTGTCAAAGCCCCAACATGGGATGTGGAATGGGGAGGTGTGGGAAATGGCTTTTCAATCCTCCCTGCATTTCTCCTTCACACCATGACCTCAGAGGTACGAAAGAGAAGAGCAGGGAAGATCACAAAGTGCTTTCCAAGTCTCCCATGTTGGAGCCAGAAAGGAGCTCTGTGGGACAGTTCCAAAGATCAGCACCCTTCTTGAGTAAGGGGTGTTCCCACCTCCTGCCAGCTGGTTGGAGGTTTGGGTCGTGCCTTGTTCCAGGAAAGGAAGAATCAGGAGCCCAGCTTTAGTTGTTGCTGTTGTTTTTTGCAGCTTCGCTCTTACTGGCTGTACACAGCTGACATCATATATGACATCAGGTGCAGGGTGGGTGAACATGGCATCCCCTGGTGACCTCAATGGGGTGGCCTGGCAAGCTAAGTTTTACCTTCAGGTCAGAGGTTTTCCATCCTGAGCTATAAAATATGCATGAAGTAACTGGTGGTTGCTGTTTCACATACGACAAAGGGAACGGCATTACATAGAAAAGAGCAACAGCAGACAATGCCTGTTTGGGGGTCATCACCCTAAGATGAGGTGAGGTACCATGAATAGAATTTTCCCAGAGGTTCTAGTATAGATAATTTGGTAAGAATCATGCCCCTCTTTACATTGAGATGTATTGTACATCTATTTAAATTAAAGCCATTAGTTGTTTTTTTAAATTGCACCTATACATATAAATAAGCAGATGCAAAAGTAATGCAGATCTGTGTCTCCTTTCGCTCTCTTTTTGGGAATACATTTCCCCTTTTTCATTTCTCTGTAAATGGCCGCACGAGCCTCACATAAAAGTCTTCCCCATCATCTGCTTCTGAATCACTTTACTTGCCTTCAGCCTTCACTTTGGCCTTAAGTCATCAGTTTGTAAGTTTGTCTCTCCCACCCCCACCCCCCGCCTGAGGCATTTGCCCATCCCTTGGGGCTGGCAGTTAAAAATGAGACAGATGGGGAAATGTCCACAGGATTGGACTCATGCCTGGTAAATGGAAGAAAGGAAGAGGGGGCTTAATCACTATGCTTTCTAAATCCATCTCCCTTAAACCCTTTAAACTATCTACCAAAAAGGAACAACTACATATCAATACAACCCAAAGCAAATTTCACTACTGGAATTATAAAGCCCTGGGCGGGGAAGGTGATTTATAGTGGAGTTCTTGACACTATCTATCTTGTCTGCAGCAGTCATGCCTGGAACCACAGAAAAAGTAACAAATACATCTGATTTTACCAGAGGGATCTTGCAGCAGACTGTCATCATCCCCACCCCCCAATCTCCTGTTCTTTGTCAACTCTTGATTTACTGGTGGAATGCTGTCCAGCATATGTCAGCACTACAGTTAAAGCACAGCCAGGGAGGAAGAGGGCAGCCATCTCACAGTACTGCTGGAACCCTTTGGAGAAGCATTTTACCATATTTAACCCAGGTGGAATCATGGCCTTGAAGCATGTTAAGACTCAGCCCCAGGATCTGTTTTCAATCCCATGTCTCAGCTCTGAAACATTTGAAGTTACATTTAAAATGCATCAGAGCACAGGCATAAAGCATTACACAGTAAGCAAAGCCTACTCCAAACACTCACTCCTCCCCACCTCTCTCTCTCTCTCTCTCTCTCTCTCTCTCACACACACACACACACACACACACTTGAGATAAGCAGAATTGGTTCCCAGATCAGAAACCGAAGCTTTCAGGCACATTTTAACACTGCAACTTTTAAGATATCAATGCATCACTTGCATTACTCTGGTGGATCAAATGGATGAGACCACAAGTGGGTCCATGAGTCAAGAAGGCGGTTTCTGCGTGTGCTGTAGAGGGAAATAAGGGGCAGGTGGGGCTCATTAACCTAGGAGAAGGAAAACTGATCTTAAACCTCCACTGCTTTGTGGCTATACTCATTGGCAAGAAAGGCTTCAGTAGCAAAGCTCTATCCACTGCCTTGCAGGACATCTTCGGGAGAGGCCAAGGAGTAAACCTGACACAAATCTGGAGCGGAGTCCCTAAGATTGTTGGTTGGCACCTTGTATGCCTCCTTCCAACAACTCCTTCAGCCAAGTTGGTGCCAAATGTACTGTTTTGCTTTCCTTTGGGGGGGGGGTCTTGTCATCTGGGCTGCCCAGGATTCTCCAAGCTTGCACCCTGAAGAGGTCACTTTGGTGCTGCCAGTACAGCAAAATCAACACAGGAGGCAGCACTTACAAGTTATAAGCTCAATCTGACTAGTATAAGATACAAGCGCTACAGGTTGGCTTCTTTAGTGGGAGAGATTGATGTTTCTCACTGGTCAGCTACTATCCCATGTCAAAAAAATGCTGTCCACATGCTTCAATGGGTACTTGGAGCTCAGAGTATCACTCAATAAGCATACTGAACCACTGTTCCAGGCAACAAAGAAAAGAAACAAACCCTATTGTGCTGTGCAAGCTGGAATGTCAGGACCATGTGTCCTGGCTTGTCCACTGGCCTGTTTCAGGTCAATAACTCATGGAAGACAGTTATCATTGACCATGAGCTGAAAACGCTCAACACTGACATTGCCACTTACAGGAGGCCACACTCAGTTTGAATGCAGCCTCTGAGAGAAGAACCACACCATTGATTGGCAAGGAGGGCACCCAGAAGAACCACATATTCATGGCATAGGTTTCACAGTGAGGCACTCCTGTCTGCAACAGAACTGCCAACCAAGGGCTCAGAATGCTTATTTCTCTCTGTCTCTCTTTCTTTTTAATTTTTTTAAAGTTTTTTATTTATACAACAAGAAAAAAACACACACACAAATACCAAATTACACAAAATTACAAAAATAACCATAGGCACATAATTTTCTTAGCAAACAATAAAACATCTATTGGTCTTAACACTAAAGACCCAACCTCCCATCTATTCCATATTTCAAATTCATATTACTTTTTGCCAGTATACGCTTTTATCATAATTAAACTTATTCTCAATAAATCTAATTTCTTATATCTACCTTGCGAGTATTACTGAAGTTCCTCGAATGCTGCAACAGAATTTAAACTACTATATTTATTTTTCAGATAATCTTTGAAAACCTCCCATTTAGAAACAAATTCCTGTTTTGATTTATTCTTTATTTTTCTGATAAACCATCTAATTCGGCATATTCTGTCAGCTTTTGGATCCAATCTTGTATAGAGGGGATTTCATTACTCTTCCATTTTGCTGCGATCAAAACTCTTGCTGCCGCCATCGCATATAAAAAGATACCCTTCCTCTTTTGTGGAATATCCAAATCTGTTATTCCCAGGAGGTAGGCCTCTGGTTTGTTACTGAAACAGATCTTTAGCATTTTTTGCAGTTCTACATGGATACTCTCCCAGAATACCTGTATTTTCCTACATATCCACCACATATGGTAGAATGTTCCTGATTCACCGCATCTCCAACAATTACTTGACACATTTTTATACATTTTTGAAAGTTTCCATGGTGTTAGATACCATCGATGTTGCATTTTTTGAAAGTTCTCTCTAATCGTGTAACAATTTGTGAATTTCCAATTGATCTTCCATAAATTTTCCCATTGAGCCATGGTTATTGAATGGCCAAAATCCTGGGACCACCTCACCATTGCCACTGTTAGCTCCTCCTCCTTGACTGTTATTTCTCTCTGTCTCTCAACCACATTCGGTCAGGTTAGCATCTTGAGCGCTTACGCTCCCTCTGTGTGCTTGAATATACAGATCATGGACCAGTTCTATGAGGAACTAGACCAGGTTGTCAGGAGGGTCCCAGCCCATGGACACCTATTCCTGCTGGGAGATTTCAGTGCCAGAGTTGGGGGTGATCATCACAAATAGACAACTGCATAGGTCAACTGCATAAGTATTGGCAGCATGAACAAAGGCGGATAAAGGCTGCTTGAGCTATGTTCAGACCATAGCCTGAACATGTTCTTGAACATGTTCTTCTCTGCCAAGGCAAAATGTTAAGTGTCCTGGAGACATCAAAGGCCATTGGCAGCAGAGGGACTTGTTTGTCACCAGGTGATTGGCACTCAACTATCTTTGTTGCACAGTGAGCGACTACAGTGCCAACTGTGGTATGGATCCTTGGCTGGTGGTGAGCAAGATCTCCGTCTCCAGCCGAAGAGGACCTATAGCAAAAAGGAGAAAGTGTGGCCTTGAATCAACCCTGTCAGAACAGTCTCACCTGAACTTTGTGAAGGTTTCTCTGATTCTGTCAAAGAAGCAATACTGAACTGCTCTACAGACAGCATCAAAGTAAGCAACCTACAACAAAGCTTTGTCCTCTTTTGGCAAAAGAAAGCAGCACATCCCTGGCTGGTTTGAGGTCAGTGTGTAAAATAGCTTCTACTGAAATACTGCTTCTTAGTAACTGTCTTGTGAAATGTGCAACAGTTAAAATGGCAATTGTTCACATTGTGGCACCAATCATAAATATGCATTATGCTCAACTTAGCAGGAAATGTGCGGGAAAGGGAGAGGCATGTTTCTGTTACACCAGGGAACAGCAGCACCCACAGATATACAATACGAAATTTATTTACTCCTATGACATGTAACAACTTGGAAATAGAACAGCTGGCACCTCAAATTAGAACATTTTAAAATTAAGTCTTAACGAGTAGAAATAAAAATCAACAAATTGACTTTTTTATACAGTACTCCTCTGGTGAGACATACTGTAAATCAGCTATATAACAAGAGGCAATAAAAACAGATTTATTTACTACTACACTCGCTGCTACCAGGAATCAGGCACAATATGAAAATTAATCTCTTATTCCAGACACACATTAGACATCTCACAAGCATGCATGCATAGTTACCTACAGAAGAATAACTGCAGAAAGCAGTATGCTAACACAGGCCTCCTATACAGGCAAGTTGCACTGGAAGTTAGAAGGATAAAAGCCACACAGGGTAGCCCTATTTCTCTCAAACCAATTGTTTTTTCACAAAAACCACAAATTACTTATTTACCTTCACTTCTCCCCACAGAATTATATGGCTGAAAGAGCCTGAAGATCACAGGGTCTAATCTTTCTCCCAATGCAGGATCTTCCACAGATCAGCTCCTTCCCCCACATTGAACCCACATAATCCAACACAGAATAATGCATTTCCTGTATCCTATTACTTCACCCCATATTTCTGGCAAGGATCCTGGCATGTGAGTACTGAAGGTATACTGTCACGACCTCATTCTTCTTAACTTGGAATT